AAGTAATAATAATAATAATAAAATAACATTAGAGACATTAGACTTAAGACTGTGTTGACATCATGGTGATAAGGTTCTATTTGAATATTGAGTTGGAATTAAATTATTAGAGATTTTAACTTTGATTATCATAATACACAACTGATAATGATGGTTATTAAAAATTTTTAAGTTCTGAAAGTGATAGTGTCTTATTGGAACATCGAGAATTCATTAAAATATGTCTGTTTGGACAGTATCATATTGTGAAATACACAAAAAGTGTTTATAATTGACATTATTATTATTATTATTATCATCACCATCATCATTATAGTCATCATGTTTTCTAAAACTAAATTCAAAAATGATAACAGTGACTGATGATGACAATTTGAGTAAGCAACAAAAACTGACATTGAATTCATGGAAAACAATTCATCATTGACAAGAATGAAGCATTTCAGAGGTTTACATTTCTTTAATTCTTTTGAAAATAGTGAGATGAATTTATGGAGAAAACAGTATTAGTTATGATTATTATTATTATCAATGTACATTGAAGTTATTCATTATCAGTAAACTTAGTGGAAAAGTTTACATAGTGAGAAGACATCATTTCAGTCGAGTGATTAGATGTAATTAGATAAATTGACTCATTTCTATTTTTACAATCAACTACTAGTTAACGTCAAAGTATAAGACGTTTGTAGTTTGGTTGTTTAGTTCAGTGGTCTGTGTATGGGTGTATATATGTGAACACTCCACTGGTGACACTCAACTGTTGTCTTCTTCTAATGAATATATTTATAATAAATGAATATTCCCCTGATGATATGATACGTCTAGTCGTTAATGCTTCTAAATATTTGTTTGATTGCAGAGATTTTCTCATGCATGAAAATATGAATATAGTAGTGAGATGGTTTTCTTAACTTTCGTTTCCACAGTTGTTGTCATAGCTACGTGTGAGAATAAGTTAAGACTTCAACTTTGTATGTGGAATAGTCGATTGTTGTTTGTTGTATCTAGTTTCCATCGGTATGACCGATTTTGTTTACCATGTGAATAATTCACTATGTCGCCCATCGGTCAGTTATTAAACATTAAATGGTTTTAAATAAGTGTGTTGTTGGAGTATGTATGTTGTTTCCTACTCATGCTTAAAGTCAATCACTGTTTGACATACAAACCATCTTATTTCCATTTTCAATATCCAACGTGGTGAACGTTGCTGAACACTTATTTTCCTATCTGAACAACTACTATATTTAGGATCAGTGAACTGATGCAATTAGTAACTGATATGAATTTGAATGTTTTTTCCTTATGACAGTTGGAGGACAATGTAACATATTTTCCCCAATTTCAGAATATTCGACATCTGACTACATACAATGTGTTTCAGTTTAGTTTTAAAGCAGATCGAATTTTATCGATCAAGTCGCAATGTGGCTACTGGTTTAGGTGTTTTGATTTCGTGGGAACTATGTTGAGATGTATAGTCGTGGATCGAGGTAGCCTACAGGAATCCTTGGTTTAATGTTATTTAATACTTGTGAGCAGGGATTACGTTTTATGTTTAGGGAAATGATGATCCCCAGATTATTCTATCCCTTATCCGGTGCATTACAAGTGCTAAAATGGTACGTTACCTAGATTACCTCCAAAATTCAGCTAAAAATTGAATTCTATTGTTGATATTTATACTAAGACTTTTATTAGTTTTCAATGATTATTCATTTTAAAATATTAAGTAAGTGTGAGATATGGCACACTATGCTTGTTAGTTTACGGGTTTTCGCGCACGTGTAACGTATTGTCGTGGATTTTATGTGTCGTTATTTATCAAAGATCAAATTACAAAGCAACAACAGAGCCAAAGTGCACACTACAAAACAGAGAACGCTAAATTAATGGTTTTGCTATTTATTTCGTGCTTTTTATGTAGCATAGGATGACTTATATATGAAAAAACTTGATACTCATGCAAACCAACCAACCCACGGCAATTGAAATACGGAATGACCGCCTCTAATCAAGCCGTTCAAGGTCGTTGAAACGAAAGGGCGGGCACATTTCAAAAGGACCTAACGTTTAAACCGTGCCGTGAGATATTATATATTCAATTTGAAATAAAGTATTATAATAAATATCCATCAATCGTTTCTTTGTTAAATAATGAGTTCCAACTATTCTTCTTTTCTGATAATAATTTGAAGATAATTTACTGATATAGATAATCTTTATAATGGCTGAGATTGTGAAATACTCTAAAATGTACGTAAACTTTCCTTCTAGAAAATATCATGTTGTCACCAATGAATAACTTGGTGATATTCCATCCATATTTTGTTAGATTTGTAATCGACTATAAACAGATCCTGAATTAAAAAGGAACTATAATCTGTGAATAAAAATTATAGACAGAATGTTTATGAAATTCATTGGATATAACATATTTATATTTTAATTAATAAAGATATTTAATGTTTATAACTCAATATTGTTTCATATTTATTATGTAAGATAAGGGAAATTATTGAAATAGATTTATCCATATTCTATTTATATTCATTATTTTATGATTGATTTTTACAATCCTCAATCTATTTGACAACCCTATTCCCAGATAGATGTAAGTTAAGTTAGCAAAACTATTTAAAGTATAAATATCTAGTTGTTGTTTTGTTTTTTGATGAAAGATCTAACAATGAAAGTAATCACAATCTTTGTAATTTATCTTATAATCTAACAAACTTAAGAATAAAATTGTAACTTAAGAGATATTTTATGAGCTGTTCTTATTTTGTTTCCTTAAAACATTTTATATTATCAAAAGGGGGTTTGTGGAGAATTTAATCATTTCATCAGTGAGTTCATGAATCAATTAAAGCTAGATCACTATGGAAAACGTGAAAGCACTAGACGGCGGTTTTGTCATAGTATGAGGCTTCTTGACCGTCGGATTCGAACCCAGGACCATTGGATGCCAGCTCAGTGGTCTACAACTTTAGCTTTAGTGCGCGAGGTCGATAGGTTCTGGGTTCGAATCTGACATGGGGATCGTGGATGCTCACTGCTGGGAAGTCCCATACTATAACAAAACGGTCGTCCAGTGCTTCATTTCATTTGAACAAATAAATGTTGTTACAAAGGGGCACCGACTGCAAGTATGCCACACAAATCACTTGATTTGTGTGTGGGCTGTGATACTGCAGGTGGTTTTCTTAGGTCTGATTCACAAGGCAGTGGAGCAACGTTAGGGGACGCAGTCCCATGGTAGCTGGTGACCAAATATTGGTTCATCCGCCATTTTTTTGCTCAGGATACTGGAGCCCATGTGCACCATTGATTTCGAATGAGGGTTTTCCAACCCCTCTAGGTCGACTTTTCATATCCACCAACCTGGTTAAAGCGTCAGACATTCGCTTTACATCCTCTCAATGTCGTAAAATATACCCTCGTCACGAGAAGCCATTGAGCATTTTGAGTGGAAGAGATGGCTCTCCCTCTCAACGCTCGACCATAGCAGAGCACTTGGCGGCTAGATTTTTCATGGTGGTCTAGCTCTCATTGACTCATGAACTCAACTATGTCACTTTGTATTATATTATATGATTATACTCACAAATTTATAAGGTATTTCTTTCATATAATATTAAGATATTTAAAATTATCAGAAGGGGTTTGTGGAGATTTTAGAAATTTCATTGATTGAAATCATCAGTCAATTGAAGCTAAACCACCATGGAAAACCTGGAAGCACTAGGCGGCCGTTTCGTCCTATTGCGGGACTTCTCAGTAGTGCGCATCCACGATTCAGCACCCCGTGAGATTCAAACCCAGGATCCATCGATCTCGCGCCAGGCGCTTGATCATTAAACCGCCGAACTGGCCGGCATCCAACGGCGTTAATGCCTAACTTCAACCAATCCACGAAGTTACACCACCGTACACCATTGTCTTCAGTGAGCTGATATCTCACTACACAGCTGGTGGAACTCCACTGGTAACGGCTTCTCAGTAGAACTCCAGGAGTATCGCTTGAAGTCATTCACTAATGAACAGATGATTATTATCAGAAAGGGTTTTGTGAAGATTTTCTAGGTTTTCCATGATGGTCTAGCTTCAATTGACTCATGATTTCAATTGGTGATATTTATAATTATTTTTCAGATTCATTTTGATTTTATATTGCAAAGATTAATTCATTGGTGGAATTCTATTGAATTTCATGGGAAAAATTTCTATAAATATAATTAGAATTGTTCATTTTGAATACAAATAATTTGATCGGTTAATCTATATATAAAGTTTCATATATAACTTGAATTGTTTTATCTTTTATGTATCTATGCTAATGATTAACATATATATTCATAAATATTATTTGTCAATCTATCAATTTCTATGCATGTATGCACGTATGTATGTATGTATGTATGAATGTATGTTTGTATGTATGTATGTATGTATGTATGTATGTATGTATGTATGTATGTATGTACGTATGTATGTATGTATGAATGTATGTATGTATGTATGTGTGTGTGTATCTATTTGTTTATACAGACAGATGAATAGAAAACAGACTTAAAAATAAAAATTATTATTATCATTATGATTTAACTATTTAACACTTGACTATTAAACAGTTTCAGATTCACTTAGTTACTGTGTGTGGATAATTCATTTATCTTTAATTACAAATTACATTTTACTTTTCGAAAAAAAGAAAAAAAAAACATTGTAATTTTATTAGGTTACTGTGATTGTATTGATCGTGTTCAATATATAAAATATATATGTGTATGTATCTATGACAACATACTTCTCCCTGCATTGTGCATCCTTTCAACAACAACAAAAAAAATAAAGCGGATTTTTAAAAAAGTGAAAAACAATATAGATCATTAAAAGAAAATGTTTTTGTTTTTTTAAAAAAGAACTAATATCGTCATTTAAACAATTCAAATACATAAATGTGAATTTTCTATTAAATGATTCCTTTTTATTAAATGACTATGAAACAAGGTAAATCAGTATTTGTAAGTAGTAAATTTCGTATGTTGAAACGTACGCATACAATGCATGTTGGATATACTGGACCGATGAATGAACCATCTGTAAGCTGATTTTATTTCCATAGTTATTATATATACATAATATTTGATCTGATTACGTAATAAAAATGATTATTATCTAAAGAAAGATTAGTTCAGCGAAGAGTTCTCTTGTCGGCAAATTCATTTTCAAATACTGATCAGTAGTATTATCATCCTGTAAAAATAAGTATATATATATTTGCGATTGTACAGTTTTGAAAGTAAACTCGCCGGAAAGAGAACTCTTCACTGAACTAATCTTTCTTATTTAATGTCTTAATGGATGTATTCCGTGTATTATCTAAAGAGCTATAAATATTGATCATTTTTTTCATGGATGATGTTAGTTATCTTTTAATAACTAATACCATGATTACAATCTATTCGCCATTCTACAGTGTATTAAATGTAAGTAGATGATGAAGACAAGAAAAAATAATCCCTTTTTTTCATTATAACACGTATGGAACTGCATAGCATCTTAATGTAAAATTTGAAATAATGAATGGGTGAATTATATTTTCATTGAAAACTTATCTTGTTCTTTATTTAATATTTAAGATTACAATTTTTATATAAAATAATTTTAACAGTGATTTTCATTTATAAAATTACTGTCAGTATGGGGTTGTGAAGATTGTTAAGTTTTTACTTGATGCAGAGGGGCCTAGGTTCGAATCTTGTGAGCGGGATTATGAAAAGTCTCATACTATGACGAAACGATCATCTAGTGCTTCTAAGATTTTAATGGTGGACTAATATTAATTTATTTATAATTTCAATCTAAAACTTAACAATCTTCACAACCACATAATGATAATAACCATTATATACTGACTAATGACTCGATTCAAGATGATTTCTTGGAGTTCTAGTGAGAAGCTGTGATCAGTGGAGTTCAATCCGTGTGGGATAGATGCAGATATCTATTTCAAACAATGGTTGTGCAGTCATTTATAAAATTACTAACTATTAACTCAATAATAGTGTATTTATTATGTTTATATTAGTATAAGTATTTTAAATATGTTTATTAATGTTTACGCATAGTATAGTCACAACTCTATTCATCTAGATGATAGATTTTTTTTTCCATTTTTTTTCTTTTATTATAAACAACACCATCATAAGTACATAATAAATAGAACTAATTCCTTTCGAAGTTTACACTGTAATTCATGAAAGTAGCTAATAGTTTGTCGTCATATGAATGCCTACCGACAATATAAAGAAATGTGTTCTTTGGTCAGATCATAGAAACAAACTAGAAAAACCTTAAATAAATAAATTGAACAGTTTTATCGATCTAATTTGTTATTATTATGAGTATAGCTCACTTATGATTAACTATGGGATTAAAGTTAGGTTCTTCAAATCTACATATAAACACTACATTACTTTAAATATGCCGTTTGAAATCATTATTTAAGTCGGTTATTTTTTCTAATACAACCTACCTAAATCACCTTACCTTCTTAGAAATATCTTGATCTCATAATAATAATAATAATAATAATAATAATAATAATAATAATAAATACGAATATTCGTCAGTTAAGTGGTCTAATGGTCAAGCGCCTGGCGCGAGACTGATAGGTACTGGGTTCGAATCTCGCGGCGGTAATATCTTGAAAGTGCACTGCTGAGGAGTCCCATACTTGGACGAAACGGCCATCCAGTGCTTGCAGGTTTTCCATGGTGGTCTAGCTTCAACTGACTCATGATCTCAATTGTTGAAGTTATTTACACTTATCAACATGAAGATAGTATAACCATTGACGACTACAATTACATTTTTGGTTGTAAGCGGTTGAAGAGAATGTTTCCAACACAATGATTTGATATTGTTTTGTTGTTGTTTTCCTTTATTATGTTAACCAAATGAAACAATGTCCTTTGCTTTGTATTCTAGAAATTTATCCATTTAGCATGTGAATGTATATGGTGGCGGCCGGTATTCGATATGATTCCTAAACTTAGTATATTGTTCATCTTGATAACCGTTACTAGATAACACCCAACGGTGTATAAAATCAGAAGATGAATACAAAGCATTGATTACGTTTATTATCACATCACACACAGATTGTCGAAACCATAAGCACACGAATAAAGAATGATATGCGAATGCCAAAGAGCTAACAAGCGAGTAAGTGAGTGAATTGATGAATAGGATTAAAATGTACATATATGAATGAATCATCGAATGATTTAAGAGACTAACACTAAAGCTAGCAAAATGAATATTAGCGTTGGCGGTAAGCAATGCTCAAGCATACATGTTCATATAAGCGTAACCAGATAAAATTACAACTGCATAGATAAGTTGTTATATGAATGACCGTCTGTTAATAAAAAGAGCTTAACCTAATTAAATATGAACAAATTCAAATGCTACAATATATTAGCTGAAATCACTAGAAGATATAACTATTTTAAACAAACAGTGTTTATATCTTTATTGAACTTACAAAAGTGAATTACTTCATTATTCACATGTATTTATGTATAAGTTAAAATTAATTAGATGTTTCACACAAAATAATTATAGTTACGTATTACATAATACCCTTGGGAAATCAAGCATTTCTACTAAATGTGAATAATAATGTATAAGGGGTTAACAGCTCCCTATACATGTTTTTTTCATTTAAATGATATTCATATTATAAACCTATTTAATAAAACAATGATGATATCTAGGCTACTGTCCTTTAGGGTTATGAACTGATCTAATTAAAATCTTGAAAAACAAATAAACACATTTAGATTGCTTATTAAACACTTGTTGGATTCCATTTGTTGAATTTGTTTTGGTTAAATTTATGTAATGATTAGATAAATAGTAGGGATTCTGGCTCAGTGGTCTAGAGGTTAAGTGTTCTCGTGTGAGACCGAAAAGCCTGGGTTCGAATCACGCAAGAAGGATCGTAGATGCATATTGCTGAGGAGTCTCATAATAAAATGAAACGACTGTCCAGGTTTTCAATGGTAGTCTAACATCAATCGGTTCATAATCTCAATCGATATTAGTAGGGAGTTAACTGTTAGTGTTAGAATAAATTATACTAATAAATAATCGATAAATAATATCTAATTTGGCAATCTATATCTATTTCACTGTAGACTGCAAAGTGTTTATTTATTTATTTAAATGATTAGTTCTTTGTTTCATATTGAAAAACAAACGCAACCTAAACTGTTCATGCAATAGATGGATAGATGTTGAATCACTGAAATTTTTATGAACTTCATCGAGGATCGATTAAATTTATTGAAGCCAAATCTAACTATAATCAATCTCTGTTAATTAGCACGGATGAAAAAGTAATGAATAAGAGATAATTTATGAATTTTTTTTTATAGATTTTTGTGTATCTTATGAAAATAATAGATTTGATTTTGTTACGATTTTATTAAATGGATAACATGAAATGATCAGCTGTTAGCTCCCAAATGCCCTTATACGGCCGAGAGTCCGGGCAGAGTCCGCTCTCCCTCTCGAAATGTTCTCACATGGACGCGCGTATATAGCCTTTGCCACGGAAGTCTTGCTCACTGCCTTCTCGTGGTGAAAGTGTTATTTACGAAATTGAGAGGACGAAAAGCGAATTTCCGGCGTTTTAACCGGGTCGGTGGATATGGAGAGTCCACCTAGGGGAGTTGGAAAACCCTGACTCCAAACCAATGGTGCACATGGGCCTCATTATCCTGAAGGAACTAATGGCGTATGAACCAATCGTTGGTAACAGGCTATCATGGAACTGCATCTTCTGACGTTGCTCCACTGCCTTGTGGATCAGACCCTCAGGTCAAAGGCTCGGAGTATGGCTCCAAGAAAACCACCTGCTTTGGTTTGGGCACACGGGCAGTATCACGGCCCGCACACATATCAACTGAGATCTGTGTGGCGTATATGTATTTGGTGCCTCCTTATATATCAATATGTATGTATTGAAATAAATAAAATAAATAAATAAAGATCATTGATTATACGAACATAGCAGTGCACATCCATTCTTTGTCTTGATACATTTTAGAGTTTATCCATCAAGAAATCAAAGACATTGCATGTTTTGTAGGGAGCTCCTCCTTTTTAAATCTCTTAATCACTAAAGATTCGGTTGGTCAGTCAGTTAGCTACAACATAGGACCAGGCACATATATATTCATCGATCCAAGTTGTCATACCTCATTAAAGATTACTTCTACTGATGTCTTGATCTCGTAAAATTATAAAAAGGGTAATTTTATCACTGTTCAGTATGTCCATTTCAAATAGCTAATTAAAAAAATAAGCGCTTAATTTTTTTCATTTTAGAATCTATTTGTCGGCTTCACCGTTGCCATGGAGATTAATATATCTAGTAGACTATCCGATAAATTGGTCAACGATTTGATTAGCATCTCTTTTCTCTGATTCAAACTAAATCGACATATTGTATTTAATTGATCTATAATATCCTATAATTATCTTGATATTATATAATTATAATTAACTGTGTAATTCAGATAATTGATTTGCAAAACACTTTGGTGTACGTAATCTTATTTTATTATTTTTACATTAAACTATGAGCATACTTGCATAGTGAATTTAAAATTGAAGGGTATTTAACTGAAAACAATATTGTTCACTAATATGTGGTAGCGAATATTGAAAATAAAATCCACTTTATATTGGTTATTCTGACTGACGTTAAGGACTGCAACTGATTAGTCTTTTATTAGCATATGTACATCCTGTGAGAATTACCTCGAGATCGTATCAAGTCATAAATATTCTAAACAGATGTGTATGGTCGTTAGTAATGGAAAACAAGACGCGCGTTTGGTCCTATATAGTACACATCACTTATATGTACCTAGACCGTGGATTTGACCTTCGCTTCGGGACACAAACCTTAAACCGCTCATTTAAAACACCATTGCGTTATCCACTCAGCTAATGAGTTTAGAAAGCTACTAGCTCCTGAAATATGATAAAGCTTAATACATTTGTACTGATCGTTTGAATGATTTCATTGGCGTTTAGAACTGCAATTAATCAATCTCTTATTAGCACATGTGCATCCTGTGAGGAATGCTTGAATTTCACTGCTAAAAATCATCCATATCTAGTCGCGTGGTTTATTGGACTAATCAAAATTTCAACTGATAAGTTTATTGTAATCACTGTTGTCATGGATTAAGATAAATACAATCTTGAATTGTTTACATATCATAAGGGAAACTGTCATTAGTGACAAACTACTAATAGCTTCCCAATTAACAAACTTCAGTTAATAAATATAAGACAGACAAACTGAAAATATATGAAAGCGAATAATTTTAAGCCTAGCTGATAAAGTACACAATTGATGATTTTGATAAGATGTGCATAACACCACATAAAGTGATTGGTAATAAAAACAATTCATGTCATCTAATAACATGATAAATTTTTGATTGAAAACATGAGTTGATGTATGTTAAACCACCATTGGAAACCTGGAAGCAATGAATGGTCATTTCTCCCTAGTATGGGGCTCTTCAGTAGTGCTCATCCACGCTCCCACACACGTTTAAAATGTAGACCACTGAGCCATCATCTAACGTTGTTAATGCGTAACTCCAACTAATCTACGAGATTGCGCCACCATCTTCTACTGTCTGAGTTAGATACCTGTCTCTACCTGACACATACTGAGCTCCATTGGCCACGGCTTCTCACTAGAAATCCAAGAACTCCCTCAACAAGTTAGTCACTAGTGAGCACATTGTAATTATCAGCATAGAGTTGTGAAGATTAAGTTCTTGATTGAGATCATGAATTTATCGATGTTAGTCCACCGTTGAAAACTTGAAAGCACTGGACGGTCATTTCGTCCTAGTATGAGGCTCTTCAGCAGTGTGCATCAACAATCCAGTACACAGGGTTCGAACACAGGTCCTTCGGTTTCAATCATAAACTTAACAATCTCCACAACCCTAGAATGATATTATGATCAACTAATAAATTTTCAAAATAAAGGGAGATTATTATTGTTATTATTATTTCACTTATGATCCATTCCATTTTTTTTAAAAAGATCTAGAAATAATAACAAGGAATTCCATCAAACACTTGAACGGATAACAATGGTAATATAATTGTATTAATGAAATATGTCCAAATAGAAGATTGTGAACTGTTTAATAATTTTGTTATATTATATGATTAGAATATATTCATATAATGCATCTATATTAACATATATGCATAAGTAATGAAGTAGGACCAGGCACATATATGCATCGGTCCAAGCTGCCATACGGCATTAGCACAACAAGATGAACACCAGATTTATAGGAGTAGTTAAGTCAATGGTGGTAATATATAAAAGAAAGATTGCATATAAGGATATAATACAGGAAGAAAGAATTAGTTCGTAGAAAGAAAGATATGAAGTAAATTTAATCTCAGAGTTCAAATGAAAACAGAGAGTGTATACACCTATGCCATTGTGATCCATTCTGAGCCATGTCACCAAGGGTCTCTAACCATTGGTTACGATAGTCATGCCCCAACGAAATAGTCTGCATCTCCCAACATGGTTCAGACTAGAAGTTAGTGACTTCAGAAACTGATGACACATTTTGTCTTGGCCGCCCCTAACTTTCTTCCAACCACCGATAACACTAGTCAGCGATGCGTGTCGTGGTAATATTCTTTGCTTAATTGGATTATAAATCAGTTTTCGATGAGAAATATTACGAAAATTACAATTGTTATGTTATGTTATGTTTTACTTTAATGAAATACAAACATGTAATTTACAATAATTAAACGTAGTTTTAAAATATATAGAGTACTTATGTAGCTCTTTATTAATAATTTAAAGATTACTTTCAAATATCACATGGAATCGATATGATAGAACATGAAAGTGAACATTTATTCCATCTTGAAAGAGTAGTGCCTTCAAAATATACGTCCATAACTGAGTTGCAGTATATATATACGGTTTAGAATTATGATTGTTATCAGAATGGGTTTTGTGGAAATTTTAGAAATTTCACTGGATGAAATCATGAGTCGTTTGAAGCTAGATCACCATGGAAAACCTGGAAGCACTAGGCGGCCGTTTCGTCCTAGTGTGGGACTCCTCAGCAGTACGTATCCACGATCCTGCCCACCCTCGCGAGATTAGAACCCAGGATCTATCAGTATCACGTGAAAGCGCTTAACCATTAGACCACTGAACTGGCCGACATTCAACGGTGTTAATGTCTAATTTCAACCAATCCGCGAAATTACACCACCGTAAACCACTGTATTTAGTTAGTTGATATCTCACAACAGACCTGGTTGAACTCTAATGGTCACTGTTTCTCACTAGAACTGTAGGATATACCACTTGAAGCCAGTCACTAGTGAGCATATGAATATGAGCATAAAAATACATAAAACATACAATAATCTATACAATTAAATTATTTAAATTAAAAGTCGTGATGAAATAGTGAGTTAAGCATCGATTTAATTCATTTAAAATCACAAATGTCTAGTAAAATGATAGATAGTTCATTTCTTAGGTAACTAAATTTGGTTTACTTTTCTTCTCTTGGTTTCTAAATGAAAATAAATTAATAATTATTTCAATAGTTAAGATCATGATTCAATTGAAGCACTGGATGACTGTATCGTTCTATTTTGTAATTCCTCAATAGTGCACGTCCACGATCCTGGTCCCTGAATGATTGGTACCCAGAACCAATTGATCTCACGCACTAGCGCCTAACCACTAAATCACTGAGTCGTGATGAAATATTGATTTAAGCATTAATTTAATTCATTTAAAATCACAAATGTCTAGTAAAATGATAGATAGTTCATTTCTTAGGTAACTAAATTTGGTCTCCAACAGAAAAAAAAATAAAAAAATAATTATTTATTGAAAAAAAAGACGGATAAACATTTTTTTTCATAGAAAATTATTCACCCATAACTTCGAATTTTTATGCTTAAAACGTATTCGAACAAAAATGTTACAGTTTACGATCAATAACAAAATTATTAAAGGTAACAAAATGTTTGTTCATTATCACTTGAGCACACACTTGCAAGTTCAGTTTAGTCAGTCAGTTAGTCGCATACAACGTAGGACAAAGTATATATATGTGAATCGGCCCAAGCTGCCATACATCATAAGCTAAGCACGATGAATTCTGAATTCATAGAAGTAGTTCATCCAGTGATGGTGGACTCACACTCAAGTGCCTATAACCTATAGACCACTGAGCTGGTCGACATCTAACGGTGTATATAAATTACTTCCTTGTTTAATAATTCAATCATCATACGTTCCAGATAAAGATCTTCTATGTTGAATCATGTGAATGATAGAATCCTTCATATTTTTACTTTGAAAATATATGAATTCATTATCAAGAAAGTATACAGTCAACATGGAAACACTTTTGAAATCTGTTTGTTATGTATTTGTGTGTGTGTGTGTCTGTGTCTGTGTCTGAAGTTTTGTTGTTTGTTGTACCGGTATATTTATTATTTATGAAAATTCTTTATTTTTGTAAAAGTACAAATTCCGTATGGAAATGTGAACACAGTTAATAAAAAGGGTTATAATATTAGATTACGTAATATGAATAATAATAATAATAATAACCATAGATTTAGTGATTATAATAAGATGATTAAAATGTTTTTTTGTTATAATAATTAAAGGTCAATAGAGGTGTAAAACTAAATAAATATGGTGATATGATGAGTATTCATCAATAGAACAATGAGAATATAAGATATAAGTAAAGGGAAGAATACAGTAATAATAATAATAATAATAATAATAATAATAATAATAATAATAATAATAATAATAATAATAATAATAATAATAATAATAATAATAATAATAATTGGATAATCAAAATACTTAAGGCCAAGGTAACGATAACGATAAGACGTACTTCTTTTGTACGCATAGTTCTGGTTTAAGCTCCTGAATGGTAAGATCTTCGACTATTTTTAAGAGTTGGATGCGAAGAAATCTGGGTAGATTTGAACAAATCATATAAACAAACTTAAATTCATTTCTTGGATCTGTGGAATGCTTACAGTCAATTAGGTGTTCAAGTATAGAACTCTTAACTGCTTTCGTTTTCCCCTTATAGAACCAAGCTGGAATATGTTCCCGTATCCGAGTTGGAAGCGAGCGCTTGCTACGGCCAATGTACCTTGCTCCACAAGAGCAGGTGAACTGGTCGATACACATTGAGGCGACCAGACGCGAAAGCTTGTCTTTTATGGACACGGAAAATCATTTCCTACTCGTGAAGTGTATTCGCAATTTAGCTGCATTAAGT